GGGCCCCGCCTGCCGCAGCGCGTGGGCCGCTGAGCGGCGGCGCACCGGCCGCGGGCGCTGCCGGGCCTGCACACCAGGGTCAGCCGGGGACACTGGCCTGTGCTCCTCCATCCCCTCTGCCACGGTCCGTCGCTATTCACCGTCCTGTCACCTTTTCCTTGCAATACGTGAATGGTCCATGTGGGACCCAATCAAATTCCAGCTGCTAGACAGCATCGTCCCCGTGACACAGGCCCCCTTGCCCCACCGCCGTGGCGCCCGCAGGTCTGCCGCGGCACCGCGGTGACGCTGGTGGCGCCCACCGCCGGGATGGAGGAGATCGCCAACCCGTTCCTGCAGGCGGCGGAGGACGGCAGCTGACGGACGCCTGGCGGCTGTGCGTGGCACATTCGCGGCGCCAGGCCCACTCGATGGTGCCGCATAGGGCCCGGTGCTCCTCCACTCAGCAGCTCGGGTTGCGTTGCCCACACACGTGCCGTACCTGTTCCTGTTGCGTTTCGTCCCCCTGCTATTCAAATAGAGTACGCGCGGAGTTGCGCGGTGGCCAGTTCATACCATTGTAATGCCCGAATCTACTGAGCTTCGTGTCGGGAGCTGAGCCGCCATTGAGAGGTGGCCCCGACATGAGGGACGCGAAACGACAGATGGCCATGTGCACTCCAGCAGCCAACGCACCCGTGGGCAGCAGCGGCCGCAGGTGTCAAGCCCTGGATTGACGCACGCGAGTTATGCGTCGGCCGGTCAGCTGCAGGTGCTCATCGCCTCATCTCCGCCTTGGCCCGCTGGCAACCGATTCCGTGACTGCGCCACGCCCTGCTGGCATCTTGTAGCAGCTGCAGCGCCGCAAACCGACACTAGCGAGCACACTGGATTCGCCCAACACACCTGCTAAGTTTTCGAAGTATTAAGTTGTGCTGATATTCAGCCTGTTTGGGCGAGCAATCCCGGAACCACGCGTGTTGCAAGCACGCGTCTCAGGTGGCAGCAGCAACCCGCGCTCCATCGCCTGCTTTGGGGTCCGAACACGACCAAAGCACTAAGTTGCGACTGATCGTAAATTTGGTACCTACACCCGGCAGTCAGACCCTCTATCGTCGCCGTAACGGTGCCCCGCTTCCCGGCCTTCGCCTCGCGCCTGAGCAGTGCAGCTGAGGGCACCCGACGAAGAGGCACCCCGTTTCGCCATGGCGGCGCCACCCCCTGGCTACCCCACCGCGGGCATGGACAAGGGTGCCCCCTACGGCGGCGCCCCTGCCTACCCGTCTGCATATGGCGACCCCGCCGCCCAGGTCGGTGGGGCTGGGGCAGGCGCCGCTGCGAACCTCGCGCCTGCACCGATGCCGCAGCCGCTGCACGCCCGTCGACGGCCGCTGCGGCAGGGCGCGTGCGCGGCGGGCCCGCGCGGCCCGCGGCGTTGCCGCGGCCGCACAATGCCGAGTCTACTCAGCTGACCCCCCCACACCTGGCCTGTGTTCTTGCACGCGGCGGACGCGAGGCGGCGCTTCCGCCCATGTTCATGTTCATGGCGATCCCCTGCCGCGCGACGCAGCCCCGCCCCCCACCCCC